AAATTTCTTAACGGATATTTTCTGATCGGAACTTTCTTAACGGATATTTTCTAATCGGAATTTCCTCAGCGGATATTTCTAATCGGAAAATCCGATGAAAGAGTAACAAACGGATATTTCCGATTAGTCTTCAACGGATTTTTTTTCCGATCACGTTTATCGGAAATATCCGTTTGTTACTCTTTCATCGGATTTTCCGATTAGATTAGGCCCGGATTTTTCTCTCAGTGTATATCTAGTTACGATGAGGTATTCTTGCCCTAGCATCTTGAGTCTCACTACTTTAATATGTTTCCTTATAACGTCGTACTTAAGCTATTCCGATTAATGATCTGTATTAGTTAAGAGCATCATTTTTATTTTTGTACTATTCGTCTCATGAACATTTTAATTTATGTTGTTCTTCTACATTGAAAGTTGATCCTTTCAAGGGCGGCAGTATGTACACGCTACTCGTGTTCATCTATCTAATTTAAGTTCCCGCCGTCTACCGATTGCCGCACATGCGCTACCGATCGCCCTGCGCTGCGCTGCGATCGTCATGATTTGCGTCACTTCCGGCATTCTCCTTGTTCTAGTTAGTTGTAGCATGACCGTCCGACTAGACAGACCGTTTTCTTTGTATACAGTCCGCTTATTCAATAAAGGTGTCATCAGATCACCGAAATTCACTGTGTGTCAAGGAACACCTTGCCCACCTGCGAGTCTAAGCTCGCACATAAGATATTACGACGACGAGAAAATACGCGTACACATACGCGCGGGCAGTACGCCCTGGTCACGGCCACACAAGGCCACAAGGCTCGCACACGTCATATTGCCGTCGATTCGACGTCGATAGTTCTGATAGAACCGTTTCAGTAATTCCGATAAAAATACATTTATTTAATCTTGGCTTTCAGGCTTTCGCGGCTGTTGTCTTCTTTAGTCTTCATGGCTTCCGGATCGTTGCCGCGTCCGTTTGCAGTGTGGTGCCGACGTTTTGCAGGCGTTGCAGTCTGCTTCATCAGGGCTGGGAGACTCTGATACTGAGTTCCCTCGCGTATAAAAGGACGAGCGCAACGCGAGGGAGCTCAGTATCAGAGTCTCCCAGCCCTGATGAAGCAGACTGCAACGCCTGCGAAACGTCGGCACCACACTGCAAACGGACGCGGCAACCATCCGGAAGCCATGAAGACATTTATTTAATGTTAAAAATATATTTATTTAACATTAAAAAAAAAATTTAATGTTAAAAAAACATTTATTTATTATAATATTAAAATAAATGTTTTTAAATGAAAAAGAAGGATCTATCCCATTATTTTTAACGTTTTTAAACGTTTTTTCATTATCAAAAATGTTTTTAAAACGTTTACAAAATATTTTTTTGCTACTGTATACGTGATATTGCATGTCACAATTTTTAATAAAACTAATTGTGTATAATAAATCGTGATTAATTTTTGCAGGTTATGTGTTCTTTGTTTTGAACATTTTACACCGTTTTGAACATTTTCTAATACTTCTAATATACTTATTGGATATGACTGAATCGAGGTGCGAGCAATTTTCTTTCAAAAAATCAAGAAAAGAATTTTCCTTACAGGTAATACATATAGAAATGCACATGACCGTAATATATTTATTGTCAATAACTTAACTCATCATTATACATATTTTTTGTTGATAGTTTCCAGAAAACTTCTATGTAGTTCAATTCAAAGATGGGCTAGCACTAGTCCCTAATAACTGGTTGCAAGAATCTGTTGAAAAGAAACACGTTTGCTTCTATCCAAATTACGATGTGAAAAAGAGGTTGAATAAGGCTATACGGAATAAAGAAATGCCGGATTTAAAAAATGTAAAAGCTGGCTGGGCAATGTATGATGTTCTACGCATTTTTGCTTCAGCAGGTATATTTACAATTATTTAAAAACTCCTTTTTCCTTCTTTTTGTGTTAAAAAATTAATTTTTTTATTGGCAATATTGATCCAATAAATAAAATTAAAATAATGTAAACAAGAGTCTATATTAACGATATGTAATAAATGAAAATAAAAGTTCCTTTATTTTTAATTTATTGGATTGATTCATTGAACTGATATTGCGTAATAGAAAGAATTAATTCTATTTGAAAACTTAGATATTTTCTTTTAACATCAAGCTATCGACATATAATTCACGCTACTCTTAATTGTCTATGTTTTGTATTTATAATTGTCACTATTTAATTATCATTGCTATATTCAGATACTTTTGAACGAGGCCATGAAAAGTTAAGGATGGCCGAAAATATATCCGACATAAATACTGAAGATGAAGAAAGTATTAAACAAACACGTCATGACAGAGCTACTGCAAAAAATTTTACGTCATCTGATGATGAATTTTCTGGTACAGAAGTGGATTTACTGTCTCCTTTACCAGATCCGAAGGAATTTTCTGGATCACAATTGTTTCATGCGGAAAAGTCTGCACAGATTTTGGCGACCTTTGAAAATCCAATTGTTGCACCCGAAAAAATTGAAATGAGTCAAATTGAAAAGAAAAAGCAGAAGATTATTCATCAAGAAAAAACAGAAATGATCACAAAATGATAATAAAAAAGAGCTAGAAAATAAAAATCAAGATTTTAGCGATAAAGATAATGTTTATTCTATTGATGAAGAGTTAACAAATAAAAATAATGAAGATCAATCTCAAAAAGGTAAAAAAGGATTAAATTTATTTATATTTAATAACTTTTAAATACTATTTTAAAATATAATTCATGATATTTCAATTTTTAGTGTTAGAAGACATTTTTAAAAGGTTAATCGAATCCTGGTTGAAGTAACATACATTGATAGAAGGCTCAATAGATTGGAGAATAAAATAACAGACCAAACCATTAGAAATCAAGAAAATAATATAAATGAAGAAGCTTTTACATTCAATACTATTTCATCTATTAATGAGCTGCAAGTTTTTGAAGAGAATTTAAAAAATGAAGAGTTTTTCGTAAAAATGGTAAGTGTATACAGTGTGGTGCCGACGTTTCGCAGGCGTTGCAGTCTGCATCATCAGGGCTGGGAGACTCTGATACTGAGCTCCCTCGCGTTGCGCTCGTCCTTTTATACTCCTTCTTGGGGGGAAGGGGGGGGTAGTCAGAGGGCGGGGTAGTCAGAGGGAGGGGGGTCAGCCAATGGCGGCTGAGTTTTTAAAAAACCGGGAGGGCGGTGTGCCATATCGGGCTCACCTGATAGCCTTTGTCGCGATTCAGATTGTCAGGGTGTTTCAAGAT